GTCTTTGTTGTCATCTCTAACCCAGAATCATCTCCCTCGTCAAATTTCACCCAAATAATGTCCTGCTGGCCGTTTCTTGTGGACCAATTATTTCAAGGTATCCGTTTATTGGAGGTGGTCATTGAGGCAGGTTTGACTCTACAATCCTAAACACTGACTTTACCAATGATATAAGTTGTCATTAATATCAAAATCAATTGTAGGTTATTTAAGTATTGACAAGATGGAGAAGCATTATGCTGGACAACCAATTAACTGCTGTAATATTTGCCTACATGGAATTACCTGATCTCTAGCTCCAAGGGAGTATTCCCTTGGCACTGATTCACATGGGAAAAATCATGGGGCTGTTAAAGTCTTTGTCACCACGGAAACCTGGTTAATCAGGGTAGTTGTGGACAATAAAGGACTTTTTATGTCCCAACAAAGCATGTGTAAAAAGGTTGTTATCAGAGCTGCTGAAGGGCATTGCTGATGGCAACCAATACTTACCTTGTCACTGCAATGCAATATCAAGGCTGTCTACCTAACATGATAATTACATTGCTTTAAAAAAAAACTTCTTTTCATCGATTTTCATTTTCAGGCAGTCTTTATTTCCCAAAGCAATTACGTAGAACTGTAGGCGACAAAATGCATGTACAGGTGATGCATTTTTCTTCAAACAGTTGATAGGAGGAGTGTCTACATAAATACATGTTGTGGCATTGATTGATACAGTCCACTGCACCATACAACCACAACATGGAACGCTGTATGTCAGGCACATATCTATGGTGAGCTAGTCACTCTCAAGGACACTGTGGGCATGTTTTTAGCTCACCTGGTCCAAATGAGCATGGTGTACATTCACAGGATGGAACACTGTACGCTATAGGCATATGTCTATGAGCATGGTGTTCAATCACAGGATGGAACACTGTATGCTGTGCATATGTCTATGAGCATGGTGTACAATCGCAGGATGGAACACTGTACGCTGTGCATATGTCTGTGAGCATGGTGTACAATCACAGGATGGAACACTGTAAGCTGTGCATATGTCTATGAGCATGGCGTACAATCACAGGATGGATGAGCATGGTGTACAATCACAGGATGGAACACTGTAAGCTGTGCATATGTCTATGGGCATGGTGTACAATCACAGGATGGAACACTGTACGCTGTGCATATGTCTATGAGCATGGCGTACAATCACAGGATGGATGAGCATGGTGTACAATCACAGGATGGAACACTGTACGCTGTGCATATGACTATGAGCATGGTGTACAATCACAGGATGAAACACTGTAAGCTGTGCATATGTCTATGAGCATGGTGTACAATCACAGGATGGAACACTGTACGCTGTGCATATGTCTATGAGCATGGTGTACAGTCACAGGATGAAACACTGTATGCTGAACGTATGTCTGTAAACTGTGACTCAGCATAGCTCATCTCAAACTGTGTTGAACTTTTGTTGACTTCTGTCCTCTGCAGTTGTAATGACTGTCATGCAATGGGACAGCGTTATGCAAGTGTATCTATTGACAATCTGTGTAAAGCAATAGAGGAAGGTATGAGGTACATGTGGGAAAATACAATAATAATAAAATGTGTATTGCAGAATTCCAAAATACTCTTATTACAGTCCGTTTACAGAGATTATATTCCCTAGCTCACAGCTGTGATCACTTTATGAAATATGTTGTCTAAATATATGGCAATCATGAGGTACAGAAAATGGAAATTTGATTTGTTATCTGATATACATATATAGGATAATTTGCATATTATGTGACATTTCAGCTGTGACCATATTTATGATGAAGTATGATATTTAAAAACACCAGCAGATGCTGATAGATGTGGTGTAGAATGCTTCTCAATAGCCTCTAGTTTTATTGATAAGGATTGTTGATGTATTGTTGACGCATTTGCCTCAGTATGTCATGTGACCAAATTCAGAGACAATCTAGAAATTTTACCTGCGGTAGTAGATTTGGAATTGGAACTATATAATTAAGGCAAGCAGAGCTACTGACCTATATACAACATAATTAATTACTCCAAATAAGGGTAGCCCGATCACTGATCAATCAATAGTGACCTAAGTGAACTGATCAATCATTAATGAACTAAATAAACTGATCAATCAATAGTGACCTTAGTGAACTGATCAATCATTAGTGAGCCAAGTTAACTGATCATTCAATAGTGAGCCAAGTGAGCTGATCAATTGTTAGTGACCTAAACAAACTGAAATCAATAGTGTCCTAAGTGAACTGATCAATCAATAGTGAGCCAAGTTAACTGATCAATCAATAGTGAGCCAAGTTAGCTGATCAATTTTTAGTGACCTAAACAAACTGAAATCAATAGTGACCTTAGTTAACTGATCAATCAATGGTGAGCCAAGTGAACTGATCAATCAATAGTGAGCCAAGTTAACTGATCAATCAATAGTGAGCCAAGCGAGATGATCAATTGTAAGTAACCTAAATAAACTGAAATCAATAGTGTCCTTAGTGAACTGATCAATCAATAGTGAGCCAAGTGAACTGATCAATCAATAGTGAACTAAATAAACTGATCAATCAATAGTGACCTTAGTGAACTGATCAATCAATAGTGAGCCAAGTTAACTGATCAATCAATAGTGAGCCAAGTGAGCTGATCAATTGTTAGTGACCTAAACAAACTGAAATCAATAGTGTCCTAAGTGAACTGATCAATCAATAGTGAGCCAAGTTAACTGATCAATCAATAGTGAGCCAAGTTAGCTGATCAATTTTTAGTGACCTAAACAAACTGAAATCAATAGTGACCTTAGTTAACTGATCAATCAATGGTGAGCCAAGTGAACTGATCAATCAATAGTGAGCCAAGTTAACTGATCAATCAATAGTGAGCCAAGCGAGCTGATCAATTGTTAGTAACCTAAACAAACTGAAATCAATAGTGTCCTTAGTGAACTGATCAATCAATAGTGAGCCAAGTGAACTGATCAATCAATAGTGAACTAAATAAACTGATCAATCAATAGTGACCTTAGTGAACTGATCAATCAATAGTGAGCCAAGTTAACTGATCAATCAATAGTGAGCCAAGTGAGCTGATCAATTGTTAGTGACCTAAACAAACTGAAATCAATAGTGTCCTAAGTGAACTGATCAATCAATAGTGAGCCAAGTTAACTGATCAATCAATAGTGAGCCAAGTTAGCTGATCAATTTTTAGTGACCTAAACAAACTGAAATCAATAGTGACCTTAGTTAACTGATCAATCAATAGTGACCCAAGTGAACTGATCAATCAATAGTGAGCCAAGTTAACTGATCAATCAATAGTGAGCCAAGCGAGCTGATCAATTGTTAGTAACCTAAACAAACTGAAATCAATAGTGTCCTTAGTGAACTGATCAATCAATAGTGAGCCAAGTGAACTGATCAATCAATAGTCATCTAAGTGAACTGATCAATTGTTAGTGTGCTAAGCGAAACTGATCAATCAAAAGTGAGCCAAATGAACTGATCAATCAATAGTGAGCCAAATAAACTGAAATCAATAGTGACCTTAGTGAACTGATCAATCAATAGTGACCTTAGTGAACTGATCAATCAATAGTGACCTTAGTGAACTGATCAATCATTAGTTAGTGAGCTAAGTGAGCTGATCAATTATTAGTGAGCTGATGAATTATTAGTGAGCTAAGTGAATGATTAATCAATAGTGAGTCAACTTAACTGAAATCAATAGTGACCTTAGTGAACTAATCAATCATTAGTTAGTGAGCTAATCAAACTCTTCAATCAATAGTGAGTCAAATGAATTGATCAATCAATAATCAACCAAATGAACTGATTAATAATTAGTTAGCGAGCTGTAGTAAACTGATCAATCAAAATTTTATGTTGATATGCTGAAGTTATTTATAGGGAAATTTGTCAGGACTTTCCTGGTTCATTTATTTTGGTAACAAATCTGTAACATCAATGTCTCTATAATCGTGTGATGTGTTGACATATATATCGGGATTTAAATCATTTTCGTCATAGATGACCAATGTTTGTCATTACAATAAGGATAAATTGTACCTGTCAAAAGTGTAGTTACAAAAAAATGATCGGGGAAGTAAAATTGCATTTTGTTAAATGTCAAAAGGTTGTATTTGAGTGATAAAACTTATATTTGTAAGGCCTTGTGACAGATGCATCACAAGGTGAAATGTGTTGCTATCCTGTGGTAGTACAAATATAGATAAACGAGCTGCAACAATAGTAAGTCATTAATCTTCATCATCATCAAAGGAAAAACACTGAGCCTCTTCGTCACCTAACAAAAAACACATTTGATTTTATCTTGAAGAGATTTTTTCTATGAATTATCATAGCAGTTTTAGCAATCTCACCTTTCTAACAAAAAATATGCATAATACCCAAACCGACAGTTGTCTGTTGTATTTGATCTCTGTAGATATAACCTAGCTTAAATTATTTCTTCAACACAATGCAAATAGCATTTGATATTGAACAATGATGTATTACAGAATGATAACATGCCATCTTGACCTCCATTATTTGGCAAAGTCCACATCTAGATATCCGGATTTAAATGACTTCAGAGTTTCATCATTCATGAAACTTCAATAATTATGTAAAAAATCTTTTCATTGTCGCTGTTTTCCTAAAAAAAACACCCCAGGTAGTTTTGATGGTTTGAATTTGAAATACAAGGGGGTATGGGTGTCCCTTTGTTTGAAAGTGTGCAAATAAAGCTGCTTTACAAGGCATTTGATTCTTGCTGAAGTTTCGTTACCTGTTAACCTAGAAAATCCAAGGCTTCAAATGGCTAGATTGTAGAAGGCAACCCTTATTTTGAAGCTCACAAGTTATATGGATGTGATTCAGGTAGAATAGTGTATCTGTATACAACCAATAGAATAAATAATGTATTTTTGTCTTGACTTTTATGCGTGATGCTAATTCTGTGCTGTGTTTGTGTCATTACAGTCCCATGAGGAGGTGCAGTCCTTACAGAGGGAGCTCGTACAGACACACACCCTCGTCAAACAACTACAGGCTGTCATCCTCAAGGAGCGGGTCACACATAGCCACAACGTCGCTGTCCTCAAAATGAGGCTTCAACAGAAGGAGGAAGAGTGTCGCAAAAATGCAGCTAGGTCCGACAAACAACTAGGGGAGGTAATCGCTCATCTTCTCCTCCTTGAGGGTCAGTTAAAGAAGGAACACACCCAGGTACGCTGTAAAATGGCTGACAATGAAAACATTATTAGGAAGCAGGAAGAGCATATTGAATCTCTTACAGAAACCAACCAAACACTATTGGACACGGTACGTGAAGCTTATGGCAGGAAAGGAAAAAATGGAGTAATGTTACTTGACAATTTGGGTGATGATAAAAATGGGTCTAGTGAAAGTCTGGAAAGCCCCACTTCAAAGTCACCACCGTCTGTAAAATCACCTCACAAGGGCAAATGGGGGTCAATGAAGGATAAAATGACCCGTAAACACCGAAGTAGTCTCGATCTGAGCGACACAGATTTTGAAGTAAATCGCGGTCTGTTGGTCGGCCGACAGTATGGAAGTCAGGAAAGCTTACTCATGATTGGTCGAAAATCAAAGGAAATGCGTGAAGGCCGGGACAAAAAGTGTCGTAGCATAGCTGGTTATCCAGACAGCTCCCTGGTTGGACTTATGGAAGTGCCAGATGAAAATGAAATTCGACTTGATAGTTTCTCACATTCCAAAGTTTTTGGTGAAAACAAAAACCAACGTGGAAATGGACAGACTTCTAATATGTTACAGGTTTCGTTCAATGGAATTGATCAGTCATCTGCTGGCTTATTGTCTGCAATCTCAATGCCAATATTGTCACAAACAGACAAAAATTCTAACACAGCTCTTACGAAGGAGAGACCGAAGTCCATTTCTAGCATAGAACACATATCCTCTCGTGACAGTGGGGGCACCCCTGACTTGCCCCCACAAATGGAGTCCTACCCCCCACCCCCAAAATCGCCAGGTGCCACATCTAACTCCAGCTTTTCTGAATCATCCAACCCATTCAAAAACTTGAAAACCATATTAAAACGGAAAGGGAGTAAGATCAAGGGAAAGAAGCGCTCTGTGACAATGGCCGATGCACCTAGTCAGGACTATCAGGCCGCCGTGAAAAAACATTTTGAGAAGTATGACATGTCGTGATGAACAGTGCTGCTTCATATGTAAGCAATTATGTCAAGTGCTTTAAATTGTGTGTTTATTAATCTGTAGGACAAGGAGATACACCTGTCACTGGGGACATGTGGAAACACGTTTATATAAACTCACAGTTCTGGTTAATGATAGTTGTGTGTGTGTTTGAAAGTTTTATAGCTACATGTGCCATATCCTGGTTATTGTTTGAAGAATTCTCCAAGTAGGATCACTACTTCTATCATGTTACGTGTGACATCATACACTCCCTGACATCATATATACAACCATTGATGTCAGGAGGAAGTGGCACTACACACCTGATCTACGTCACCACCACAGATTGGCCTTTAATAGGAAATCTCAAAAAACAATCACTTCAATATAAATGATCTCGGCAGCTCCTGAATAACGTAGTATATTACTAATACTGTATACTGCAATCACTTGGTGTTATGTTTCATAGAATTTCACTGATACAAACTTTTGGGATTGTGTGAAGTTATAACCTGTATTTGCTGTTCTTATATTAGCCATTAAACTGTAGATGAAAAAATACACAGCAAAAGCCTCATTAATTACATTATTACACTATTAATACATCTATGTACCATAAGATGTATGTGTGACATATAATGTAACTACGATAAGCTGAGCTGGTGGGGTATGGCAATATGTGATATACAATTGTGGTATAGAAATAGAATACAAATATATACAGGTATGGTATATACAGGTGTGGTATACAAATTTGTACAGGTATGGTATATAGATGTGTAGTATACAAATTTATACAGGTATGGTATAAACATGTATGGTATATACAGGTGTGGTATACAAATTTGTACAGGTATGGTATATAGATGTGTAGTATACAAATTTATACAGGTATGGTATATATACAGGTGTGGTATATAGATGTGTAGTGTAAAAATTTATACAGGTATGGTATATACAGGTATGGTATATACAGGTGTGGTATATACAGGTGTGGTATATTAATGTGTGGTACAGAAGTATACAAATGTATACAGGTATGATAAACACAAGTGTAGTATATATATACGGTTGTGATATATGGATGTGTGGTACAGAAGTATACAGGTGTGGTACATACAGATGTGGTAAATACAGGTGTGGTAAATACAGGTGTGGTAAATACAGGTGTGGTAAACGTGTTTGGTATATTACAAGGTTATTTAATTGATGCCTTTCTAGAGTGTAGTCAAAAATAGTAGCCGGTAGTTGACAATGTGTTCATATTATAACACAGGGCTGAAGGTCATCTGACGATATTAAATATGAGTTTTATAACATAATATTGAAAAATATCAAACACATTTTATTGAATCGCATACAATTTAATTGCCATCATGTATGAATACTGGACACTTTTCTGTGGCTTTTTAACAAAAAATTCAAATCTTTTGAAGAAGCGCAGATGACACCTTCTGCTATATTGACGGCCAGACCGCAAGTAAATGACAATTGAACGGCTTTTTGGAAAAAATTCATGTGACAATCACATGACCAGTCATACTAAAAAAATAGCTGAAAATAGTTGATTTCAGAATATGTAGAACGAAAACAGATTATTTTGTTATAAACATTTAGTGTACTAGTATACAAGTATGGTATACAGTTGTGATTGATAAGCACTGATGTGTAGGTACAAACAGATACTGTATATGTAATATGTCTAGATCGACCAGCTATATATACCTATATATACTGTACAATTTGTCTCCTCTACATATGATTAATGTGCAAATGGAGTTGATGCACATGACACGTCTTTCATGCTGCTTCATGCAACTTATATTACATTTGCATAAATTTTATGTAAATTTTTAAAACTGACACAAATGTTTCTGACCTGAGAACTATTAACTTTTCAAAATGAATAGTAAGTAGGTCTTACACTGCATGGTATATAGATTTATACCTAGACTTGTTCCCAGTGGATTTACACATTGTAATACATGATCTACCAGGCATTAGTGTTTATGATTCAAAAGCTCTCTTAATAAATTATTACTTCATCTAAGTTTTCCATTATCAGTTTATTCCCGTCATTGTTTTTTGGGGGTTTTTTTCTTTTTTTTCTAAAATCTATCTGTTAATAGATTTTTTATGATTATTGAAGAACAATTCTGAGAAAAACATATCATTATAAATCTCAGTGGGCACTGCTTGATTAGCTAGTGTTCAGAATCCTTTACATACATTTAAGCAATGATTTTTGTCCATGGCTGATCAAAACTTAGCTGGTCAACTTCAGATCAAATGTACAGTTGTTAATTGTCTCCCTTTCCCATAACCACACTTGCTAAGTTATTGTTGCATGAGACGATTTGTGAGAATAAAGATTTGTGATGTATAACTAAGGTTTGTGAGAGTAAGAGATTTGTGATGTATAATTAAGGTTTGTGAGGGTAAGAGATTTGTGATGTATAAATAAGGTTTGTGAGCGTAAGAGATTTGTGATGTATAATTAAGGTTTGTGAGAGTAAGAGATTTGTGATGTATACTTAAGGTTTGTGAGAGTAAGAGATTTGTGATGTATAATTATGGTTTGTGAGAAAAGAGATTTGTGATGTATTAAAAAGGTTTGTGAGAATAGAGATTTGTGATGCATTAAAAAGGTTTGTGAGAATAGAGATTTGTGATGTATAATTATGGTTTGTGAGAATAGAGATTTATGATGTATAATAAAGGTTAAAGAGTAACAGGGGTGTAATGCACGTCCTCATAAAAAGTCTGGTAGTTGTGTCTAAAACTCTTTACCTGGAATTCTATGTAACATTTTGAATATAAAAACTGTATTACAGTACAAATTGATTTACCTTTTTTTTCATTTCTACAAGATTAGATTGCCGATAATTCCATCTTGACCTGCAAAATTGGAATATAAATCTTTCTCAGAAGGTACTTTTCTTTGCAAATAATTTTCAATTTTTGGAAATTCAAACTGATGTGCAACTATAACACTACAGCCATTTATCACTAATCAATATCCTTTTGTCTGGATAACTTGTTATTTCACACCATTCTAGGGAACAGATTTGTCTAAGTCATGTTTGTTAATCCAACAATTCATTAGTCCAGAAAGTGTATACTTTAGTTGGAACAGAAATGTCTGGATTAACAAGGTACATGTACCCTCGAGCTCATATAGGGTGGTTTAAGGTCACTGTATAAGGTCACTCTGATATAAGTCTATTTATGGTATGAGGGCTTATTATTTATATTCTCAAACCTCGCATTGTAAATGGAAATCAAGCTACAAGCTGTATTTATGACATATGGTTTTGGCTAGTGAACTACATGTATATGGTTTTGCCTAGTGAACTACATGTATATGGTTTTCGCTGTCGGTGAACAACATGGTTTTGCTGTGACATTATATAATTATGACATGTGTATTTGTTAGGACTTGATGTGATCAAATCATCACTCCATAGATACTTCATGAAATAGGAAATAAAATATTGTGCTTTGAAAAGTTTGTCTTTTATCCTTTTTATACGCCCATCATTTGACGGGAGTGTTATGGTATGGCTTTGTCCGACCGTCCGGCGTAAACTTTTGTTTGTCCGGCAATCTCCTCCCACATTTTTCGACCGATCTCTTTGAAACTTGGTATACATTATAATCATGATATGAAGTTGTGTCTCCCTTAAAAGATTTTTTTGTCCGGAGATCATCTCCTAGAATTTTTTGACGGATTCCTTTGAAACTTATTTGGCTATATAATCATGATATGTTGTTGTGTTTCTTTGAAAAGATTTTTGATTCAACAATTTTTGCAAAAGTTATTGCCCTTTGTTTATTTTAGTGTTAGATTTTTTTCCGGCAATCTCCTCCTACATTTTTCTACAGATCTCTTTGAAACTTGCTATACATTATAATCATGATAAGAAGTACTAGTTGTGTCTCCATTAAAAGAATTTTGATTCGATGATTTTTGCAAAAGTTATTGCCCTTTGTTCATTTCAGTATTTGATTTTTTGTCCGGAGATTTTCTCGTACATTTTTTATAGCATGTCAGCTAACCACTCTTAGAATGATGCAGATCTTATTTCAATGTAAGAAAGTATATACCACTATATGGCATTCGACGGGCGTATATTGTTCCGCCCCGCAGTACTCTAGTTGTTAATGTAGTCGGTATGATGTTGGTTACACAAACCAGGTAATTTGACCATAATAATCAGATATATACTCATCCTTTAAAAAAATAAGCTAAAATCCAAAATGTAAGTTAAGGGTATCCATTATTTGACACAATAAGGTTAAGCATCATTGTTTGAGACAATCGAGAGTAAGTACTAAATGTTTGAGGAAAATAAGGTTATGTATTCCAAAGGAACATGGACAACAAGGCAACATTTTCTCGACAGATAAATAAGGTTTCTGGAGTTGTTTGACACAGTGTTGGATGTCAGTGGTCGTACTAAAGTTACTTCGACTAATGTTAAACATTTCAATTCTTCTTTGATTTTTTCTTTTCTTTGAATAACAAATAAATGGAATGCTGTTATTTAAAACATTCTGTACTCATTGAAATAGACCTCTTTGAAGAAAATCCAATGTGTTCAACCAAAATTAATTCTTTGTTAAATTTCTCTTTTTTATTGAAATGTTTCAGCCCATTGAGGTGGTAAATTGTGGTATACTACCTGGAGTGTGCTGAAACTTGGACGGTGTGCCACCTTTAGGGGTATTATATTGGCCTGCTACCTTGAATATCTGTTGTTGTCGTGGTATCTGTAATCTCAGAGGTTCTCTCTTACCTATCCATGTGTGTCACCAAGGTCAACAAGGTTACTCCAGCAGTGGCAGATCCAGAGGGGTTTTTTTGGACTTCAAGAACACCCAACACCACCACCACCACCACCATCACCACCACCCTGAGAATTTATTTAAAAATCATGTATTTTCACCATTTTCCTCAAATTTGGACACCCCACCCCAGATAGGTCTCTGGATCTGCCACTGCTCAAGTCATGCTGATCTAACTGTTATACATTAATGTTAACCTCTGGTTTATTTCACAGTAAATGAATGGGGGAGGAATCTTTAAAGTGGAAATATTTATTTTTCAAATAAAAACCATAATCATTATAACATCAGCCACTGCCTGGTTGCACTACACGTTATGTAAATGTTGGTGGTCTAGATAGTCGACAGAACAGTAACACTCTCCAGTAAAACTCTATAACACTTCAAGTGCAAAAAAGTCAAGAAAATACCAGACATGCAAATAATTATTTCCATATGAATCAAAATTGTAGTTAAACACTGGGAGTAACATGAGAATGTTTATACTCCCAGTATAAAATGGAGGCCATACCCATATACAATCCCACCACAGCCTCATCACTCTACATTTAGTCCATTTTATCGTGATGAAACTTCATATCAGTATTCTGTAAACAAATATATTCAACAAGTTTGCATTTTAAGGTCTTGAATAGAAGAAGGTCAAGGTCACTTTTGCTATCATTCAATTCATTTTTATATGGTTTAGATGAAACTTTATACAAGTATTCAGTAAACAAATAAATAAAGACATTTCGGGTCATGAACCAAAAGTACATGAGCACAAAGAACACAGCCAGCAAAAGGACATTCATGTCTTGCAGGCATTGTCTAATTTTATAAAGTTATTAATGGGCAACATGGGAAAAAAGCATGTTAATATGTAAGGAAAAAATGAGAAACATTAAGCTGTCTTCAAAACAAGAAATAGCAACTAATTGGGAACAAGTTCCACTTTTTCTGTCCTCTTGCAGGGGAAAAAATGCTTCAGTTTCACAAATAATCCTCTATTTCATGGGCATCTTGATATACGTTTGTAAATGTACTGAATAAAATTTAGTCATACCAGCAGCAGTGAAAACCTCACTATTGGGGACACCTGCTACAGTGAGTGTGTCTTGTATAAGACCATCATTAGGGAAAGTAATGAACACAAATTTATATAGAAGACAACAGCTATAATGGACACCAATAAATAGAGGGGATAACAGCTATAATGGACACCAATATATAGAGGGGACAACTGCTAAAATGGACACCAATATATATAGGGGATAACTGCTAAAATGGACACCAATATAAACAGGGGATAACTGCTAAAATGGCCACCAAGATATATAGGGGATAACTGCTTAAATGGACACAAATATATATAGGGGACAACTGCTAAAATGAACACCAATATAAATAAGGGACAACTGCTGAAATGGACACCAATACATGTATATATAGGGGACAACTGCTAAAAAGGACACCAATAAATATAGGGGATAACTGCTAAAATGAACACCAATAAATATAGGGGATAACTGCTGAAATGGACACCTATATATATAGGGGACAACTGCTAAAATGGACACAAATATATATAGGGGACAACTGCTAAAAAGGACACCAATAAATATAGGGGATAACTGCTAAAATGGACACCAATAAATATAGGGGATAACTACTAAAATGGACACCAATATATATAGGGGACAACTGCTAAAATGGACACCAATATATATAGGGGATAACTGCTAAAATGAACACCAATTAATATAGGGGATAACTGCTAGAATGAACACCAATAAATATAGGGGATAACTCCTCAAATGGACACCAATATATATAGGGGATAACTGCTAAAATGAACACCAATTAATATAGGGGATAACTGCTGAAATGGACACCTATATATATAGGGGACAACTGCTAAAATGGACACCAATATATATAGGGAATAACTGCTTTAATGAACACCAATATATATAGGGAACAACTGCTAAAATGAACACCAATATATATAGGGGACAACTGCTAAAATGGACACACTAATATAGGGGATAACTGCTAAAATGGACACCAATATATATAGGGGACAGTTGCTAAAATGGATGCCAATATATATATATAGGGGACACAGTTAAAATGGACACCACTATATATAGGGGACAGCTGCTAAAATGGACACCAATATATATAGGAGACAACTGCTAAAATGGACACACTAATATAGGGGACAACTGCTAAAATTGACACCAATATATATAAGGGACAACTGCTAAAATTGACACCAATATGTATATAGGAGACAACTGCTAAAATGGACACCAATTTATATGGGGGACAACTTCTAAAATGGACACCAGTATATATAGGGGACAACTGCTAAAATGGACACCAGTATATATATAGGGGACAACTGCTAAAATGGACGCCAATATATATAGGGGACACATCTAAAATGGACGCCAATATATATAAGAACAACTTCTAAAATGGACACCAATATATAAAGGGTCAACTGCTAAAATGGACACCAGTATATATAGGGGGAACAACTGCTTAAATGGACACGTGTTTATGTATAGGGGACAACTGCTTAAATGGACGCCAATATATTTAGGGGACACATCTAAAATGGACGCCAATATATATAAGAACAACTGCTAAAATGGACACCAATATATAAAGGGGACAACTGCTAAAATGGACACCAATATATATATGAACAACTGCTAAAAAGGACACCAATATATATAGGGGACAACTGCTAAAATGGACGCCAATATATATAAGAACAACTGCTAAAATTGACACCAATTTATATAAAAGCAACTGCTAAAATGGACTCCAATATATATAGGGGACAACTGCTAAAATGGACACCAATATGTATATAGGGGATAACTGCTAAAATGGACACCCTTATATAGGGGACAATTTCTAAAATGGACCTCCTTATATAGGGGACAACTGCTAAAATGGACGCCAATATATATAAGAAAAACTGCTAAAATCGACCCCAATATATATAAGGGACAACTGCTAAAATGAACAACTTTATATAAGGGACAACTGCTCAAATGTATCAATAGGATTATGACGCCTGTTTCTACACGTTGATTGGGATTTGATTGGCTGTTGGCCAGACAACGGCCTCGGTCACTTTGACATGTAAATTCCGAGTTAAAGACACTGATGATAATGGCCCAGTCAATAGGTGACAGTGCTCATTGTAGTGTTTGTCTATAGGAGGGGACGTCCTCACACACCCTAGTGCCCACTCTTAAGTCCAGTCACACCCGAGATATTGCCAGACTATACCTGAATAACTTACCTACGATACTAATTGCTGAGATATGAAATATCATTATTCATCACTGTGGAATACATGTCTTCTCATAAATAAACTAATGATGACGCTTTCCTATATTCCAGCTAGGACATGTCTTTTTCAGTATTCTTGGAAAACCAACAGGTATAATGGAAACAAATGTCACTATCGACAATATCAAATTTCTTTACGTATTAGTTCGCCTTATTTATTTGTAAAGAAAAGAATGAGGTGGTGGGTTGTTACTTCTAAAAGTACCAATCATCCCCTTGTTCTTTCATTACAAACAAATGAAGAGATTAACGCCTCAGTGCCTAGAATTAGCCTTGAATTGAGACGTGAACAACTCTTGCAAAGTTAGACCATTTAGACACTGGATGTATTTATGGCATTATCATGAAATCGTGATGTACATGTTCTCATTGGGGGAAAAAACAAGAAACAATTAAATACACCACATGTACATGATTGACAATAGTGTCAATATCCTGTCCTTTTCATACATGTTCAAAGATTGCACCTGATAACTTGAGAAATGAAGATTCTTTAGGCGAAAAAAACACAAGAGGGGAACCACTCTAAGGACGACACATAATGAAGTATGATCATCTGACCCCACACCTCGGTCTATACATCATTAAATTGTAACCAAAAAGTACGGAGCTGTTTGTTCTCTATTTCAACTCTGTGTTGTACTATTGTGTCATCCATGCCTGACTGAAACAGGACTCATTTAAATCAGTCACAATTGAGCGACTTCTTGATGTCAACTTGGTACATTTACAGATACAGAAGTGTTATGAATAACTTATCACTTGTTATAAAACAGAAAATGATTTATAGTTAATTGTCTTTGTTCATGTCTTTAAAACTAGTACGGCAAAGGAGAGATGATATTTATAAATATATTGTGGAATCTGGTTGTGAAAAAACACTTGGTTATTCAAATTGAAATATTTTTTAAAATATCAAAATATTTTCAAATCCAGTTTCGCATGTTTCAATCTAAACGTATGCTAATTAGATAACATTTATGCATCCAAGACTTGATGAATGTTTAATAAACATTAAAAGTTTCGTGTCCTGACAGTTGAGTGACATGTGATGTCACTTCCAAGTGATACGGTACACACAAGTCGGTTGTGGTTGCTGTCGTGCAATGTCAATCATCCTTTAAAAAAACAACGGATCATACTAATATATATGATTTTAAAATACATATATATTATAATCTTTCGGTCTTTTTTTAAAGGTGACTTAAGCAAATCTACACAAATTATGTCATGCATTAATACACAACTTCAAGGCAACTTTTAATTGCCTCCTTTTTTAAACAGTAATCTTAGAAGGGCTGCCTTTAAGAAAGCTATGTTACGAAATAAGTACAACCGCATCAAAATAGCTGCTTACTGGGAAGCCTACAGAAAGCAACGAAATTATGTAGAAAAACTCCGTAGACAGTCTGTAAGGCTATATTTTCAAGAACGATGTGGTGGAGGTCCAGCCTCTAAAGATTTTTGGCCTACTGTTAAGTCCTTTTTATCTAACAAATGATTTAATGACCAGAAAATTATTTTAGAAGAAAGCGAATGCATTGTATACAAACAGAGTGAAGTGTGTGATGTTTTTAATGATTTTTTTCTCTACAGTTGCTGATGATATTGGTAAAGATCTAGAGGGCGTGTCTAGTTTTACAGACCGCCCGAGTGATATTAACATTAAAAGTTCTGTCTGTAGAGAAAATGAAAACAATGTTTTTAACATTCAGCACGTAGAAGAGAATGATGTTAAGAAACTGTTTTCATCATTGATTGTGAAAAAAGCAACAGGTTTTGATGGTATCTCTGCCAAGATCTTAAAAGCTGGTACAGAATCTTTTACACCTGTCATAACATCCCTTTTTAACCATTGTGTAAATGTTTCCCATTTCCCTGATGTTCTGAAAAAGGCACAGGTTTTACCAATTTTTAAGAAAAACAATCGTATGGAAAAGAGTAACTTCAGGCCTGTTAGTATTTTACCCTCTTATGAGAGACTTGTTTATAACCAACTGAGTGAATATTTTAAGCCAATTTTTAGCCCATTCTTGGCAGCTTTCAGGAGCGGGTACGGGTGCCAGTCTGTCCTGCTGCGAGCTCTTGAGGACTGGAGGCAGGCCTTGGACAACCATCAGCATGTTGGAGCCATCCTGATGGACCTGTCCAAGGCATTTGACTGCATTCCTCATAATCTGCTACTCGGGAAGCTGCAAGCTTATGGACTGGGTAAGTCATCTATTGACTTCATCAGCAGCTACCTGAGTGGCAGAAAACAGCAGGTCAGACTGGGGCCAGAGACAAGCAAATGGACTGATGTAAAGAAGGGGGTCCCCCAGGGTTCTATTGTAGGACCTCTATTTTTTAATATTTTTATGAATGATATTTTTACCTTTGTAGATAAATGTATTTTATACAATTACGCAGATGACAACACGCTCTCTAAGATTTGTGACAATTATATATATTTGAAAGATTGTTTAGAAAAAGAGAGCAAAGTTCTTATAAAATGGTTTGATTTTAATGGTATGAAGGCCAATCCAGAGAAATTTCAGGCAATATGTTTTGGCAAAAAGAATAGTAACACTATCAAATCTTTTAATATTGAAAGCCTTGAGATTATTTGTGAAGACAGTGTGAAACTTTTAGGTGTGGATATTGACTTTCTTCTTAAATTCGATGTACATATATCTCGCCTTTGCAGAAATGCTGCTAAACAACTTGCTGTTTTAAAAAGACTGGGAAACAATCTTACAAAGAAAGGAAAAATTACCATTTTTAAGTCTTTTATTCTATCAAATTTTAACTATTGTCCACTTGCCTGGCACTTTTGTACATTGACAAATACTCGAAAAATGGAAAAAGTCCAGGAACGAGCACTTCGTTTTATTGAAAATGATTATGTTTCCCCAGTCATTGATATTCTTAGAAAACACAAACTTGATTTTTTACATGTAAAACGTATGAAAGATATGGCCTCTGAGGTTTTTAAAATTTTAAATGAAATTTCTCCATCAATTTTACAAAATCTTGTTGAGAGGAAAGAAGTTTTTTACAATCTGAGACAAGATAACCTGGTAAAGATTCCAAAGGTGAACACCTCCACATATGGTAAGAGATCTTTCCGATTTGCTGCTTCCCAGGTGTGGAACAGCCTACCAAATGAACTTCGATTAGCTGAAAACTATAAGTCGTTTCGTGGGCTGCTCCACACCTGGAACAAAAATGTCTGCTCATGTGCTATCTGCACACACCATATAGTGTGAGTTGTCCCCCTTTGGAATCTACCTACATGTTTTATATAACAACTATTTAATTTAATTTCACTGCTGCTTGTGTTATTTAATTTAATGTACTTCAGTAATATACTTATTATATAATTGATATTTATTTTAGATTTGAGCTCCATTATTTAAAAGATCATTACTTTTTTACAATATCATAATTATAGCTCTTGTTTCTATTTATGACTTCATTGTCTCTTTTTAATTCACACTATATTAGTGTATATCCTGTAAATTTTTACACTTTGCTACATTAGCATATATGTACATTACACTAGTATATAGTGTCTTTCATAACACTTGTGTGACATACAAGTGTGATATTATATGCTCTACTGTATAATTTTAGCATATCTAATTTGAATTGTTGTCCTGATTTTATAGTTATTCATAAGTACTGTGATCCTTGTTAAATTTTATATATGTTTTGTCGCAAGAATAGCACTACAGTGCTAATGTTATTATGTTACATGTCTATGCGACGTTAAATAAAGCTTCTTGAATCTTGAATCTTGAATCCCTAATGGTATTAGTCGCCCACAAACAAAAATCTTTTGATATCGACTGGATATATATCTGTGTATATCATGGATACATTATGTATATATATATACCTCAAAGGTAAAAAACAAATAAAGGAACCACACTTTATCATAAGCTTAGAAAAAATACTCACCTTGGTAATAGGGGTATACATTTGCTATTTATAATTATGAGTTAAGTTTGGGTTGCTTAAGACCAACAGAGTAGTTTCCCTTGTTCTTAAAGGTGGTTTTTTTCTCGTGTTAAGGAAATATGTCATTTTCTATTTCCTCAAAATTTCAGCATTGAATCTAATCAGAGATAATATCACGGAATATATATCAAAATGATAATAAAAATATGATAAAAAAAAAGAAAAAAAAAAGATAACCAATCAATTAAAAGACTTATTACAAGATAGATACATTTGTTGATGTGCTATTGATGCTGTTCTATATTGCTCATTTGATAAGTTAGATGGGTGCTTGTGTTCATAAATCTGTTGTTAGCTGTAATTATGTATATAATGTTTAGCTATCAACAGACCAAAGATTTTATCATGTAGACCAGACATTTCAGTCTCATCTGATATTTAACGTACAAATGTAACTATGCAGGTTTAATGGTTCAAGCTGTCTTTTCTAACCATATTTTTATGTTGGCCTTTTATTAAAAAAAAATTGTTCTAAAGCGTCAATTTGTCTAAATGTCTGCTTAATTATGAAACATATTATTTTTATAAAATGAGCAAAATAAAACAACATCCAGTACCATATCAATGAGAGCTAAAAAAAGCTAGCTAATAACCTATCTAAAAAAGTGATTGGTAGGTTTTTTGTTTTTTTTAATTAACTAAATAATTATTATCTTATTGATATAATCTATCATAAGAGTTCATTGTTGAAATGTAAAAAAAAGAGATATGAACTGGTGCAAGTCTATTAATAGTTATAATTATCTCCCCTTACAGGGACTCTTTAATACCAGAGAGCGAAAACGTATTCGCTTCCGACGGCGGGATTGATAGGTTTCGGTTTTGTGTTTTACCTATTTCACCTCTGTTTATGATGGTGATATGAGGTTAATCATTCTATAAACAGTGTGAAACATCCAGGACCCGTCTGGAGTAAAATGGCAGGCCTAGAAGATCTCGGAATTCCAGGAGGCGACTATTTACAAGAGTCGCTGACAAATTGTTCAGACCCCCTTCAAGCAATCGAAGAGTTTCAAACAGAAAATGGTATTTTGCTGCCGTCACTTCGACCGGCGCTGCCGTTTCTGGATTTGCATGAATTTAAACGACTTGATTTCCACAATTCTGTGTTGGAGGAACTTAGAGATAAACTTGTTCATCGGATATCCGAATTAGCGAGTAGTGATGATGAAAAACGATTTGAAAAATTGGAATCACTTCTGACTAAAAGTTTTCCGGTTGTGAAAGTTAAAACACTTCGACCAGTTGTGATGGCATTGTTGAAACATTTGCCGAAGATCGAAGAAGATTATCTGAAGAAAATTCTAGATGATAAAGAATTGTATGCAGAAGCAGCAACAGAAGTGAAAAGACAAATATGGCAAGACAATCAGGCATTGTTTGGAGATGAAGTGTCTCCACTTTTATCACAGTATATCAAGGAGAAAGAAAATGCACTGTTCGGTCATGAGCACGCCACACTGACGTTCTTTCTACCATCTCCTAGAGCGAGAAGGCAGAGTGAAGTGGTACAAAAACTGTCGCACATGGTTGGGAAAAATGTCAAACTTTATGACATGGTTCTGCAATTTCTCAGAACTTTGTTTTTGAGGACAAGGAATACTCATTATTGTACATTAAGAGCAGAACTTTTAATGGCTCTTCATGACCATGAAGTAAATGAGATTTGTGCCTTAGATCCATGTCACAAGTTTACATGGTGTGTTGATGCGTGCATCAGAGATCGCTTCATTGATTCTAAGAGATCCAGGGAGTTACAAGGCTTTCTTGATGGCATTCGTAAAGATCATGAATTTGTGCTGGGGTAAATCAATGATGACTACTTTCTGTCAATTCTTCTGAATCAAAATCATATATTACATCAAGTTTATTTACTGTTTCAAAGTTTCTGCACATATTGAAAAAAAGTAAATATTTTTATAAAATGTAAAACTAAAATATCCTATGTAATTATAAAAGGTTTTGCAATTGTTGGCCCCCTGGGCCTATTGCAGGATAAGTACGGTTGTTGTAATTAACACAAAGAGGTATTAATCTATGAATGGGTTACCTCTGATATTAAAACAGTTGAATGTTTATGTCAGATTTATGATACTTCAAGATCACTTATCTTTGAAAACGAAAAATTAAATTCAAGACAACGTAAATAGCTATATACAAATGTATATTGAAAATATTTAGAAACTGACTAAACACTATATTCATACAGATTTATCATTTCAAGAGAGGTAAATTTGCATCATTTTTAGGAACAGTTTTCAACATAATACTAGGTCAAGTAACAGTAACTAATTCAAACAATAATAATGGTGTAAAATGTCTTGGCTGCTGCAGTCATCCTGGGAATGGCAATAAAATTAAAGAAACATGGCAAAAGAAACCTCACATTTGAATGAAGGATTTGTTTGATGTGATTTAATTAACCCTTCATCTAAGGGAAAATGTTACTTGACGTCTAAAGTTTCTGAAGTTTCTAAATATTAAATGTTAAGGGTACCGCAGTCAACTGAAAGTGGTGCTGAAGTTGTTTTTGTGCATTCCACCCTTTTGCATTGAACATAACACTGTCGCCCATTTTAAGGGCAATGCAAAGCACCTTTCCAATATTATGTGAGTGTGAGAAACTGAACTCTGTGACAAACTAGGTTGTGATGAAGCAGTATATATTAAGAACCTTGAATTATTAGTATATAGAAACCCGTATGGGCGTAATCATGTAGGCGAAAAACCCTTCAACCAACCAACCAATTATTATTATTATTAAAAGCAAAATTATTATTCATATGCATTGACAAATTGTTACACTAAACATACATTTGATGATGTCAAAATGCTATTAAATTTGTTATTTTTGTTCTTAAATTTGCAATAGAGTAGACTGTAAAATATCAGAGTTACATCTCTTGCTTTTATTTTCTGTTTCCAGAGACCTTTCCATGATCCTGTGTGATCCGTTCGCACTGAACACAGTAGCACTATCCATGATGAAGAACTTACAACATTGTGTGAACAATGAAGTAATGCCGAGGGTAAATATCACGTTGTCTAACCTATATGTTTTGTGGTTTTAGCCAAATATAACAAATGGTGTTTCCACTTTCTCTAGGTATGCCTATCCAACCACACATACTTGTCTTTTTAACTTATTGAAATCAAGTACTCTAAAGGACCTAATTGGCTTTTTGATAGAAATTTTTGTGAGTAATAAATATATTAAATCTGTAAAAATATGATTACTAAATGGAGTAATCTCTCCTAAACAAGTTGAATTTTATAACCAATATTATCTTTTATGAATCAAAGTATAGTTCAATAATATGATAAATTCATACATTGGTGCACAGGAAAGTGCTGACATTGTCCTGTTGGTACGGATGATGGCCTTGGGCCTGGGTGCTTGGGACATGATTGACAGTCAGCTGTTCAGGGAGCCTAAACTGGTAAGAGGATAAGGAAAGGGTAAGGCTGTCAGGATTGACTTGACAGCATCAATAGAGGAGGCTAGTTGTTCCTTGACACTAGTTGTTTTCAAGAAAACCTGATCATATAAATAAATCTGTATATATATATGTAGTATGGTAGTCCAGTTATTCTCACCTGCATTTGCAAATGGTATGTAAAATTAAATCATCATTTGTAATCTAACCATTATTAGTTCACCTGGTCCGAAGGACCAAGGTGAGCTTATGCCATACCGTGGTGTCCGTCGTCCGTCAACAATTTCTTTAAACAACTTCTTCTTCTTAACCACTGATTGGAATTCAACTAAATTTGACTTGAAGCATCCCTAGGTGGTGGGGATTCAAAGTTGTACAAATGGTGGGGCTGACCCCCCCAGGGGGGTGAGTGGCGGGGCCAAAAGGGGACAATTTGGCTATATTGCTACAAACGACTTCTTCTGTAGAACTATGCACTGGATATCAATCATATTTCATCAAAAGCATTCATGGTAGGCAGGGATTCAAAATTGTACAAATGGTGTGGCTGACCCCCCAGAGGGCTTAGGGGCGGGGCCAAAAAGGGTTATTTGGCTATACTGCTTTAAGCGACTTCTTCTCTGGAACTAAGAGATGGATATCAACGATATTTGACTGAAAGCATCCTTAGGTGGTGGGGATTCAAAATTGTACAAATGGTGGGGCTGAGGGGCGGGGCAATTTGGCTATATTGCTATAAATGACTTCTTCTGTAGAACTATGCCATGGATATCAATCATATTTGGTCGGAAGCATTCATTGGAGGCAGGGATTCAAAATGGTACAAATGGTGGGGCTAAACCCCTGGCTAAGGGGTGGGGCCCAAAAAAAGTTTATTTCTTGGAAACGGTTGAGATCCCCAATGATAACCATATATACAATTGCTGAGTATAAAGAGAATAATGCACATTTGCTTCCCGGGTGGCCCTAGGGTCTGGCCCCACCCTTGGAGACATAGTCCCTGGGTCATAACTTTGAAATGGTTGAGAGTCCCACCCCAAAACTATATATATACAAATGCTGGGCATAAAGAGACGAATATAGTAATGATATTAGAATAGACCCTGGGGTCTGACCAAACCCGTAGGGACCTAGTTTCTTAGTCACAGCTTGGAAACAGTTGAGATCCCTACCCTTTAACTATATATATAATTGCTGAGTATAAATAGATGAATGCACATATGCTTCCAGGATGGCCTTGGAGTCTGCCCCACCCTTGGAGACTTAACCCCTGGGTCATAACTTTGAAATGGTTAAGATCCCCACCCCAAAACTATTTATACAATTGTTGGGCATAAAGAGAGAAATGCAGTCATGATATTAGAATTGATCCTGGGGTCTGGCCACAACCCTAGGGACCTAGTTTATGAGTCACTGCTTGGAAGCAGTTGAGATCCCCACCCCATAACCATACATTAAATTGTTGGGCATGGAAAATCTAATACAGATATGCTACAAGGATTGACCTTGGGGTCTGGCATATTCCCTTGGATCTCATTTGAAGAATATTCTGCCATGATTGCCTAGATATCCAGGTGAGTAATACAGGCCCTCTGGGCCTCTTGTTAATATAATGTTACAAAGTGAAAGTGTTCCAATTTTAAAATTTGTGAATATCAATGTGATTTGATGGATTGTTTTCAGGACGTACCAGTATTCACCAAGTTCCTACCCAACATCCTGTCTATGATGGTGGAGGACCACACCAGGAGTATTTGTTCTCGGATACCAGAGGAGCCTCAGCCAACACTGAAACAGCCATCTGAATTGTACGCCACGTTTATCAAGAGCAACAGTATAGCAAGTCTAGTGTCCATGTACTACACAGCACAGGTAAAAATAGTTTATCCAATATCCTCCCAATTTCAATTGTCCACAATTTATGGCACTTGTTCAAAAAATACAATGCTTTTATTTTGTTCCTGTGTTATACATATTTATCAAGCATTTAGGACTGATGTAATGGCTGATAAATGGCTTGAAAATAAAATGCTTCTCTGTTTTCCAAGTTAAACAGAAAGGCACCATGATCATGAAGGAGTCCAAATTTTGAATGTTGCCAGTATAAATACATGTATTTCTCATGCAAATCATACATACATTATACCTGGTAAAAGGTAAAATGGTACAGATTCACATGGGACATTCTCATTCGAAATTAAGTCAAAAGTTTCATTTATCCCAGGGCCAGGTCTGTTTACTAAAAAATGAAAGCAAAAGACGAAAAATCTCTGATATTCTATAATACATAAAACTAACCTACAGATATTGTACATACTGAATGCTACAAGCTAGCACTTTATGCTGCAGGACTGATATTCTATAATGTAAAAAACTAACCTACAGATATTGGACATACTTAATGCTACAGGCTAGCTCTTTATGCTGCAGGACTGATATTCTTTAATGTAAAAATACTAACCTACAGATATTGAACATACTTAATGCTACAGGCTAGCACTTAATGCTGCACGACTGATATTCTATAATGTAAAAAAACTAACATACAGACATTTTTCATACTTAATGCTACAGGCTAGCACTTAATGCTGCACGACTGATATTCTATAATGTAAAAAAACTAACATACAGACATTTTTCATACTTAATGCTACAGGCTAGCACTTAATGCTGCACGACTGATATTCTATAATGTAAAAAATTAACCTACAGATATTGTACATACTTAATGCTACAGGCTTGCACTTTATGCTGCTGGACTGATATTCTATAATGTAAAAAAACCAACATACAGACATTTTTCATACTTAATGCTACAGTCTAGCACTTTATGCTGCAGGACTGATAATCTATAATGTAAAAATACTAACCTACAGATATTGTACATACTTAATGCTACAGGCTAGCACTTAATGCTGCAGGACTGATATTCTATAATGTAAAAAAACTAACATACAGACATTTTTCATACTTAATGCTACAGGCTAGCACTTTATGCTGCAGGACTGATATTCTATAAAACTAACCTACAGATATTGTACATCCTGAATGCTACAGGCTAGCACTTTATGCTGCAGGACTGATATTCTATAATACATAAAACTAACCTACAGATATTGTACATCCTAAATGCTACAGGCTAGCACTTATACCTGCAGGACTGATATTCTATAATACATAAAACTAACCTACAGATATTGTACATCCTAAATGCTACAGGCTAGCACTTTATACTGCAGGACTGATATTCTATAATGTAAAAAACTAACCTACAGACATTGTACATACTGAATGCTACAGGCTAGCACTTGNCCAAACAATGAGGTATGACTCGGTGTACACACCAACACTACCAAGCTCCTAAAGTATTAATGTATATTCTCTTACACGTTTGTATGATTATCACCAGTTGATGATAGCATAGTTTATCATAAATGTTTGTGGGTAGTATATTTTCTTTATTCCTTAATACTAGTTAAGATAATTTGTTTGCATTTTATTTTGTCTCTCAGCTGTAAGCTCCACTGATATGACCTGCTACCCTGTTTGTTTTACAGCACAGTGAAGCTGTTCACACGACGTACCAGCAGCTGGCAGATAAAATATCCTCATATGAACCAAGTCCTGCAACTCCACAGGAACAGCTTGACTCGCCACTCATGAGTGTTCCTGCGCCCACTCCTGCTCCGTACTGAACCCCGGATTAGCCTAGGACCTTCATGGAACAGTTGTATTGTGTTTTAGTATGTAATTGATAAAAAGCAATGGGATAAGAACAAGCTGTAAAACTCCAAGCCATTTTTATGTATTTGTCATCAGCACATCAATACTTTTGGCCATTATCAAAAATAAAAAATAAATGAAACTAAAATTTACCTCATCTTTTAATTTTGTTGAATAATCATTTTCATGAATGTGTCTGAAATGATTTTTATTCATTGCCAAATATGTTATGACACTGGCACAAATACTTATCCATATCCATTGTTAATATACTGTTCATGAGTAAATAAAGAAACACTCCCTGTGAAAAATTAAAAGTGCAATGGACACAGCAATGAACAAGGCAATTGACAGAGAAAAAGACACCACTCAGTATGATATCCAAAAGGATGTTGCCAATAACAGACCAGAACCAGGGCAGTTTTTCGTTTAAATGGTCAAACCGGTCGGACCACTGTTGTTCGTTTATTAAATAAGGTCGGACCTTAAGTAATCTGATGCTTTCAGGCGAGCCTTGACAAAGCCTTGCAAGGCCTGCATAAACATTTGCAGGTCCGCCAGGATTTATACCCGAAATTGTTACATTTATAAACGGTCAAACCAGTTGTTCCGCATAAACGAACTGGCCACAGATGACTCTTATTTTCTGGTAGTAAAAGAGAAACAGAAATTCCTAATTGGTCGTAGTTATCTCCCTTGAAGCAGCACCAATGCTCTTGTTGACAAATTCAAATTGAAGAAATTTTGTTGGACGTTTATTTCTTCAACACAGTGAGTTTCCAAACATAGGTACAGTCTAGATCGGTAGATCTTAGTTCTAGTCTATGTATTTTGCTGTCAAAAGCTTTCAGCTCCAAATCTGAAGTATGCTAGGACAAAGGTAGTGTTACAGCAGTGACAGTGATCACGATGTGTGTGTTCATGTGAGTGGCAGTACTTTGTATGGCATCAAGAACAAACTTGTTCCCATTTAAATTTAGTTGGTATAATGATAACCAAGCAAAACAGATGTGCAGTAATATTTAGAGGTGTGATTGTTTTACTTGTATTAAAAATTCATATTGTTAAATGTTTGCGAATAAAAACTGTCTTGTAATTGGACCAAAGGATCAGACTGGTTACACAACAGTGTTGTCTACAATGTAGTTGTATGAGTATTGCTGACAGGCTGTAGACAATGTTGTGGGTTGTGTGACTAGATCTCTACAATGCTTACAAATGTATGTTAGGTATGTGTAGATTGTTACTGTGGTATGTCTGGTATATAAAATATGTCAAATATAAGTTTTAAATGTTTACTTGTACATGTACTTCAATAAACATCTGTTTCAGCAATGTATCTTGGAATGGTGTGTTTTTAATCAATTCTCTATAGGTAATATAAGACCAATAAACTCCTTAAACAACAAAGACATGATTTACAACTTTTTGCCTGAAGAATTAAAAATATTTCAATTTCTTTAGCTCTTGACCAGGTTTATAGATGGTCTTTTTACTGGTCTGTTTTTCTTGCGTCTACAGAACCCCCACCCTCCTTCAAATTAACAGAAATTAAATCAACTACTGAAAAATACTACATGTATCTTAGTTTTTTGATTGCAATGCTATACATCCCCCTGGTGACTTTAGAAACTTTCCATATTTATCTAGCAATGAGCCCGTTTATGGACGAAAGCTATCCATGTCAGTATAGTTTAATGATAATAAATATGTATTGTTCTGTAATAAGCTTTGAGTATGATTTTTTTGTGTTGGCTCCTGGGGCTTATTGCAGGATACCTATGGTCACATAAAACAATAATATTCAATATATACATTATTACTTAGGTATGATTGAAAGGTACAAGGATCTGAAGTAGTGCAGTGGTGTAAATGTTTACAATCATCTTCATCCGAAATTTCTAAAATTCAACAACTGTAAAGGCCCGTTTATGTTGCATACGCTTATTTTGACATTATATGTAGGATGTTTTTATTGTGCATGTTGGTTTGAATAAGGAATTTTTGATTCCTGTACTTCTGCATAAACCACATTTATTTCATCGAATGTGGTTTGTGTTACACTAGTAAATAGTATACAGATGTAACTAACACTATCAGAGTGCGGTTTGTATTTACATTGTTAACTCTTTGCCATTACACAGTTTATAGTCAATAGTCCAAACTTACACCATCAGAATGAAAACTTACAGTAGAACAGAACACAAATTGTCGACAATGTTTGAAATAGTTGTGAAGTGAAGGCCGCTGTAGATAAAGGGCACAGGTTTCAGGTATCATGACGATTATCTGCGTCAGTCTGTGTACATTTGTATGTGATGTAGTCCTGTGCTGGTGCTGTGTATATCACTGATCCTACTGACATTTCACTGGTGATGTAATTGTGAACACCAATTTGAGGATAATAATAACAAAGCTAGGAATGGCTACACAATGACACAGAGATAGTTTTTATCTGACTGGGTCATCTGTGTCATTGTATAGACATGTGTTGTGTGGAAATCCTCACAGTACTGACAAAAAACCTGCTTTGTAATAGCATTTCAATACTTGTCATCTACAAATAGTCCAACAGTCCTGTATGTGCAATGACAAGTAAACATTGATGACCATTTGTCCACGTGTCTTTATCTCAAGCAACAACAAAAGGCCTATTGCACCTTGTTAAGTCACCTGTTGAAGATATTTTGATGAAACTTGGATACTTGTATAACCGACAGAAGATGTGTACTGAACTGTATTCATGTCACTGTGAACTCCAACATTAGGTCAAAGGTAAAGTGTTGTGTTATTGCAATTTTATTTTGTAAAATTGCAATAACTTTTAAACCATTGACATATCTCAGAAAAACTTGAAGTGTATACCTGCATCATCCTAAGAAATTTTGCAGAGCAGGTCATGGTGTCCTTCAACCTCTGGATCAATGGTCAAGTAAGTGCAAAATGTTTTACTTTTTCTTGTCTAAATTTCAGCTGGATGAAACAAGTTTTACTTGCATCACAAACTGCAGATGTGCAATGTACTGTATTTAGTACTGCTGATGGCTCAGTGGTTAGCACATGTTCCTCTCGTAGAGATGGCTGGGGCTTGATTCCTCAATCAGGTTTAAAGAAAAGGTATGAGGTCACTGTGACCTTCACATCTAGGTTAAAGCTTAAATAAATCCAAAACAAATATGTGTGTGGCTGATAAGGGTAGACTTTTTTTTATTAAAACACATACTTCTAGTTTCATATGATTTAGACTAGACGTTGCACAGATATGTTAGACTTTCGCAACTTTTACAGAATAGAATATTTCGTAGTTTGGTATACCCCTCTGTTAAATTGGACATTGTTCATTTACAAATGAATTTAGCAGATAAAGGATCGACTGACAGACGGACGAATTAACAGGCAAACTTGGTAGTGGATAAGATCGGTGATGATCTGATAGATTTAGACCTGGAGTCACGGGGCCCGCAATCATCCCTTTATTGACTGGCTGATTTGTGTTCCCCACATTTGACCTCACCACCAGGCCCCAGGGTAGATCTCCCAGACTGATATATATTGATTATTGAGGTGATCTGTCTTTGTTTACATGTCAATTTATTGTAAGAATACAGTTTAGTTATTTTAGAACTGAGGGTAGTTGTTCAGCCATGTAATGATATATAGATTTAGCTACTGTTAGGGCTTTGATAGTTGATATCTAATTGATTCTGAAGAGGATTTTGAAATTTTCAATCCAGGTAAATGTATTTATTTGTGGCTTCACCAGAAAAAACATTCCTCACCACTATGTAATGTATTCCACTCTAGTCTACCTACATTGTAGCTGCACTAATGGTACTTTGTACTGCATCAACTTTGCAAGTCAAAAATATATTTTGAAGTAAAAACCTTTCCCTCATTAATAATTCAATGATAAGGCAATATTTTGAAATATTGCTTACATTGATTTCCACAAAGAAGATACATCTGGTGTCCAGCAGTGTAATGATAGAATGTCACTAACAGTGTAATGATAGAATGTCAATAACAGTGTAATGATAGAGTGTCACTAACAGTGTAATGATAGAATGTCACTAACAGTGTAATGATAGAAAGTCACTAACGGTGTTATGATAGTATTATTAGCAGTGTTATGTTACAGTGTGCCTTTGTAAATGTCAACATACAGTGTCACAAAGTATACACAGACTTGTACCCTACCACACATCCAGTGGGAGTATGGAAACTTGTATATATTTACACTGGAGTTATTAAGAGGACATACCATCGCCTAAGTAAACTGAAAGTTTGTACACACCAGGATGGTCAGACTGTCAACACTGAGACCAAATTGACCATTACCGCACTGGACATACACTGACCTAAGTCCCCTGTGGTCTAAAAGCCAATTAGGAGCCCTAATGTTCAGTTAAATAAGCAATCGGACCCTTAGTCTATAGATTGAAATGGTCATTATGTATATCTTAGTTCTTGGTCGCTTGGCCAATACATTGTTGTTATCACTATAGGTAGATATACACAGGTAAATAATGGCACCCAGTTGTGATCTTACCTATTTAGTACTAATGGTCCTACTGAACAGATAGTCTGCAGTAGTTCTCATATTCCTATTGTAGTGTAGTAAGTTTGCAGTGGTTAGTATCTAGGAATATTACCTTTCCAGCACTGTAATTCAAAGATACCTCTGATGGACGGTACCAGGGGATACATTCATGTATAGGTACCAGGTATGTATAGGTTACTTACATATTTAAATGTGTAGATGGAATGTAATATTGCCGATTGTATGTATCACAGTGAACTTTAAAATGTATGCAGTTGGTAATTCCAAGAAAAAAATCATTGAAAAAATGTTTGTGAATTTTAGTTATGCATGTCAACGAAGGACAGAATTGTACATTGTTAGGGGTAGTTTGACCATAGAAATACAATGTAGAAGTATGACCTTGATAGGTCTTGATACTGATAGGTATAGCCTTGATACTGATAGGTATGGCCTTGATACTGATAGGTATGGCCTTGATGCTGATAGGTATGGCCTTGATAGGTCTTGATACTGATAGGTATAGCCTTGATACTGATAGGTATGGCCTTGATACTGATAGGTATGACCTTGATGCTGATAGGTATGACCTTGATACTGACATGTATGGCCTTGATACTGATAGGTATGACCTTGATACTGACATGTATGGCCTTGATACTGATAGGTATGACCTTGATACTGATAGGTATGACCTTAATACTGTATGTATGACCTAGATAAAGGCGTAAGTGATCTTATTAGTGGAAGTTATGACCTTGATTTTATGATCTTGATAGGTCTTGATACTGATAGATATGGCCTTGATACCAATAGGTATGACCTTTAATACTGATAAATATGACCTTGATATTGATAGGTATGTCTTTAATAGAGATGGATTTGACCTTGACATTTGCAAGTACAATCTTGATATTGATACATATATATAAAATGAATATTACCTTGGTAGTGGTGTGTTTTACCTTGATAGTTACAGATTATGGGTATGACATTGGTATTGACGGTAATGACCTTCAGATAAATATAAGTAGTAGTGGCCTTGACAGATATATTTATGACCTTGATGAGGTAGTTTATGACTTGATTTAGTGGGTAGTCCTTTAGTTGTTGTAGGCCCGTAGTAGTGGTTGGTTGGTTTTACCAGGTTATTAAGATGACCTTTGTACCAGGAATATAATAGGTATGACTTTGGTAGCAGTAAATATACACCCAGAAGTCGCCGTTCTGTAGTAGTTAGGGGATGCTCTGCACAAGCCGTACAGACAATGTATTGATCTGAGCAGTTCCTACTCGTGGTGCAACTGCCCCGTAATTCAGTTATCTTGTTTGTGATCTTTCAGCCTTTAATCTGGACATTTTGTGTGTAGCTCCGGGGTACGATGTTAGGCCTATGGTGATTAGATTATAGGTGACTCAGTCACAAATACAGAAAAATGAGAAATTTGTGCACAATATTATATCATAAACCGTCTACAGCTACAATGTTAACACCCTAAAAAATAAAATCTAGGACAGAACGGCTTGTCTAAAGTCGTCCATTGAATAGGCAGTTCGTGGTGAAATAGATACATGCAATAACATATATCTAAACAGTTGTGAGGAGTTCACTGACCCAATAAGTTATATTCTGGAACAAGCGTCCATTCAAATTCTACCGTCGGTTATCAATGTGATCAACTTCTACACATCACTTGACTGTCGGAAGTTGTTTGTAAGCCTAACAAAACCACCTGTCATTGTTGGGCTGTCAGTACACGAGGTATGATGTCATCGTTTTATTCTTTACATATTTCGCAGATCACTTTTTAGCATATATTACGGACTGTTTTTATGTTTGGGGAAATAGTTTTTGAAAATGCAGCGCAGACGTGTGAGGATATTGATATAAAGTTGCCGAAAGTAATGAGAGAAATCCTTTTTGCTGTAACAGCTTAAGACGATCGACCAATTTAAAGCTACATGTATACGATACTTAGTGCTACGATACGTATCTCCTTTTCTGAAGAGTTCCATGCGTACGAACATTGATGAGATGGGTCAGACTCGGACCTGTATCTTATAACTTCACACGAATATTACACATAGGTGCACATTGCCACGTACACGTAGCTGTAGAATTCCCATGAATATCTTTCTGTCTGATTACTGGCTCAAACGCCGAAAACTTCCGTGCTTCTTATAAACGATGATTTCAAGAATAAGGCAACGATAAAATTAGACATGTACAAAAATAGATAAACCTGTAAACCTCATTGTTAGTTTTGCGTTTTATAATACAACTAAAATTAAAGACAAATATAATGGTGAAAAACACAAATATCATAAAACCTGAGTCATATGGTCTCCTAGCAATTGGTGTCGTATGCACATCGAAGTGTACTCGTATATAGCGCTTATATTACGTCAGACCGAACATTTCAACTTCTGAAATCGGACATCATCCCAGTGCATGGAGCTCCTCATGTGACACGAGGAAACTTTATCATTAATATTTAGCTGACACTATTATTTTGATAAATGTCAGCTTACTTTCAGTGGATATATGATATGAATTGATCGTTTCCAGACATGACCATTTTTGGTCTACACTTCAGTCATCTCCGAATTTACCGCTAGTACCCGTTGGATCTGTCCAGTACAGGATAGGTGTTTACGCTACGTAATTACTCCAGCTCAATCTCCTTATCTATTTATCTTCTTCACGCTCCACGTTTCCGCGAGTGCTTTGGCTAACAAGAAGACATACCTTACCCATTTGTGGGTGACATCTGGAATTTAAATGTACTGTCTCTTTATGACCCAGAAAACCGAGGTCCCCATTAACACAGCCCATCACTCATTGAGGATAATACGGGACGTTAACGTACATGGGTGGAGGGATACCCACGGAATAAGCAATGATAAAGGACATACTTTACTCGGACAAAAGACGTACTGTCCAGCTAACCAGCGATTTCGAACATCGTCAAGGGTCACAGGCATTATTGAGTACAAATATCTGGAGCTATACCCTGGTGTGAACGACACACTTCTATTACACAGACTATAATATAATTGGCGATGATTGCAGGTAAGGTACCACTATATTACATATAGCTAAAACTTATTCCACCCTATTATGGGGTACAGTATGCTCGGAAATGTGTCAAGTGACGTCTGACGTTCCAGAATCTCCGTAAACAAGTAACTGTCGTTACCTGCTTGAGGTGAGAGTTGGCACCAAATCTTCGTTATATCCGATACAAGTGTGCTAAAGGACGTCGTAGCACAACTTCTTATGTCTCAGTATTTATAACTGGTTCATATGAACATATAATATCTCGTTCTCTACGGGGAGTTTTTTTATAATGTGTATTCGTCAGCGCGTTACCTGGGACTAACGACCTATTCATCACTGTAACCAGTGTCATGGGATTGGTCAATCATACGTACATGTGAAGGAACCTGCTTACCAATCAGCTACCTATTCCGCCAGATTTATACTTTTCACTTCACTGTATAGTATCAATGATGTATCTTTTGCTAGAGACAGTTGGTCAGTTGTTATTCTTGCTCGCTGTTACAGTTCTCCCCTTGCCTCCAATAGAGGTAACACGCCGTGACGGAATGGTAGAGTTTGTGTTTCACCCCGTGACATAAGATAGTGTTGGTACCATTGGGGTTAGCTTCTGCTGTTCTAATAGCTCATGGATTTTTCTAATTTTAATAATTTCTCCGAGTGTAACTACGCCATGCACCACTGTTTAAACTGTTGCCATCATTGAGATGAACCATTCTTAACCTTAACCGCTAGGGGACAACATTTTAGCATTCTGACGTCAATGTCAAAGTCTCGGTTGCCTTTCTTCAGTGTGTTGTGATCGTTGTGATACTAATATGTTGCGTGTAGCGCTGTCGTAGGGTTCCATATACAAACTAATTAGATTATTGATATAATCGTAAACCGTCGGCTTTAAACATCATACAGGTGAAATCGACGTTATCATTGCGTAATGTGGAGTCAATATATTATGTAAATTAGCATTAACTACGCAAATATCATTTACCGGCTATACGTCATTTCAGACCCGTGGCTCTTGTGACAGATGAAAGTGTACAATTAAAGGGCCATAGTCCTGACTAACAAAGGTGCAAAGGTTGGGGCGCCCCATTGCAATGGCGTCATTTTTGACCTGAATATTTTACCCCAAAAGTCTAACAACGGTTTAAATGCTCATTTCTCACTGTCTATTTCCTTTTTAAAATTTATTTCTTTGCTTAATATGTCTGGTTCTATTACTTATTTAATTTTTAATACATTTAAAAATGTGTAATTTGAAGCACGTCCCTTTAACAGAATCAATTAGCCTTGCAATACAATTCATCAGTTTAGTAAATAAAAGTCGGTCAGAAGAGAAAGCCCCTGGAAGATGATATAATAACTATATACAATAATTCTGTCATGTTGTGAAGCCCTACTCGGAATCGCTAGAACAGAACGGAGCACGAGAAAATCAATGGCGGTGACAAAACTAGCTCTACAACAGAGAGATATTTGATGTAAGGGCAAGATATAACTTTGACTTACGAGAGAAGTGACACACATGTTGACTGTCGGAGTGGAGCGCAGCGCTCGTCAGAGTGTGTAATTTGCATGTGATTTGCAAGCTCTGTTAGTTCACGGCATCAAATTTCATGTATTGTTTGAATTCATGAATCGTTTAAAATGATTTGATGGATGTAAATTTGAACTGTCTAGTCTGATTTTTCCAATTTGACAGTACATAATCTTGACATACGATCGAGCAACAATCCTATACAAGTTCTTAACTAGAATATAAAAGATACGTATTTTTTTTTTTTTATTCTTGGACAGCTTTGGGAGACGGTGTACCACCCCAGTAAGGCCAATCACAGTGGAATATTTGACACATGGATTATCTGATATTAACAGACGACAATTACGTATTGAATTTGCAAGTTTAAAAAAGTTGATTCTAACATAGGAACTGTGATATGTGTCGACAGCAATTTCACACGTGGAGTTTTTAAAGTAGCATGCTTTATTGTCGCGGGAAGTCTAACTGCAATGTGTGTTTCTAAAATGTCGTTTTGGGGAAGAAATTTACATACTTAATTGGAAATTGGAACATGTACAATCACAAACCCATGGAACATCAGGATACGTCACGACGGTATATTTCCTATTGATCTGTACAGTAGTTTAAAATTGTCTCAAGTCTCTCATTGATATTAACGAATTAAGAAGACGTCTATAGGCTTTCTTCCTGAAGCAATTCATAATATACCAGAGACGTCGACGTGCATGTCTATTATATATCGAGTACCACAAGGTTAAATATTAAAATTTCTACTTATTTCTGAGAGAAATTGTTGAGGATTCAAGGTTGGCGACACGATGGATTTTAAAATGGAGCATCCATTGTCCCGGACATTATCCTCCCCACATTTGAACGGGACCATTCAACGTGCCCCCCAGAAAGTCATGCTGAACCTGGCGAGGCGGTCCCCCTCCGAGCCCAGGATGAGGAGGTACGTATGCCATACAGTCTTTTTATACATTCTCCTCTATATGTACGAACCGGTTTTTTGCTTTTATAAAAAAGGAAAAGGGACTATAAGAACCTTTCACCCCGAGAGCGTTTGGCTATTCAATAAATGCTTCTTGTTATTAGACGGGGTCGTTTCACGCATCACCAAAATAACCTACACAACAATTGTATATATATATAAAAAATATATGATGTTTTGATATTTGTGGACAGGCAGTTGACGGACGTGTATAAACATTAGTGTGTGCGACCTCTAAAATGTATGACACAGTGTGTCACAATAAAATATACTTGCATATACCAAAACGTTAATTACGAATCACGGAATTAGATTGGTGTATAACTTATTTTTGGAATGCACAATTCTTCTTTTCCTTTGTGCTCTTCCTGTTCCATAAACAAATTAAACATGGCCAAAGTGTCAACGCGGAAGGGGGGATTAAGGTCTTGTACATTGTGTACTCACAGGGACATGCCAGTTACGTCATATATTCAGATATGTGTACTTCAGTATTAATTAAAAGCCATGGAGACTAATATCAACAGCCATGACCAAAGTCACCATGATCTTTTTTCACCGGTTTTAACCATAGCCTCAATAATGATTATTACTCTCTCATGCGTACGTTCATGTTACTAGTCTAAGTTGGCATGTCCCTGTGTGGCGCTTAGCGAGTGCAGCGTTGCTAGGTTAGGTTGACCTTCACCTTGCTGGTCACAGCTTGACGATCGGCTCAACTTGAAATTGTCGAGAGGTCCAGATGCTGACCAGGTATATCAAACGGAAAACGGATGTCTTCAGAAAGATGAATGGTAAAGTTTTATTTTAAGATGAGGTATTTCTAAGTGACACTGCAGATTGATGACTTGAAAGATGCCCTGAAAAAAGTGTATATGGCTAAGGAGAAAAACTCCATTAATGGCACATTCTCATTTCTATTTAAAGACATACTTATTTGTTGTTTGATAACGAAAGTATTGTATAAAGGAAGGGTAGATTAGACTTGCAGCTTCCATCATGTGTTTTCTTAGATAGCCATCATCCTCTGTATTACATTCATGCCAATGAGCAAAGTTAGAGGGGTGGGGGAGGGGGGGCTGCCCTCAAACCAGGGAACTAGTTGACCCTTTCCACCAACCCGTTCCCCAAACTGACCTTCCACACCGGCAAATAGTAGTTTTCAGTTTCTTAAACTAAAACATGTGATTTCCTGTAAAGAAAGATTGACTGTAGTAATATCTGTATTGATAGATGTGGGGGTGGGGCAGGTGACGGGAGACACGTTCACTAACCACTAACCACAAGCACATGTCTGAGGTAGCCTCTGTCTGAGGTAGTGTGTGCTTGAGGTAACCCAGTGCGTGCGTGTACATGTGGTCACCAAAGTTTAGGAGTGGGATATATTGATACCTTTCATCATTACCTTTTATGGTGCTGCTACCCTGTTATATTTTACTATTATAACGTGCCCCAGTTTTTGTTTGCTTTAGTTCATGAAATTGAATTATTTGATGAATACTAAATCGCCAAACTCGCATTGAAGGCTTATAGTGGCATAACAGCTTTTTAAACTAAACTTAAGCATTAGTTTCTAATAAATCGAAATTTCTTATGAAAGATGAAATGCTTTGAAAGATGTAGTGGATTACCTCTGTAGTACATCTACTACTACTATATATGGCTAATATTGACTAAAGCTGTAGATACACAGTCAAGCCATCAGTATTTCCGGGGACAGTGTCATGATAGTACTATTTCATCACATCAATGACGGGTGGTTAATCCCCGTACACACATGTATACAGTGTGGATAACCTAATAGTAACAGATGCACCTCTGTTTTGCCTCCAATATTTTGTTTACTTTGAGGGGTAGTGACTGTAATAAGCACAGATGCCAATGTACAAAATGTACTACCATGAAGATTATGTTTGGTTTGAATCAATGGGGTAAGTTAAATTTTACTGGATTTTCAATGCAAAAAACATATGAAGTAACTTGTTTCCCCTAAAATATATAGTTAAATCATAGGCTATGAATGCCATGAGTCATTTTTGACATCATCATTAATATGAAAATAATCGTTATGTTGGACATCACTGACCATCCCTCGACAGATGGCTGTTCTATTTATTGAACAGTCTTATATGATAAATACATATTTTTACCTAGTTGCTGAATAATAAGTGTAATTGAATTTAGTATGAGATAAACAGATTCCAAAAGAAGGTAAGCTTCAGTAATGAACTGCTTTCAGTTGGCATTCATATTGCCTATGAAGTATGAATGCCAGCTGAACGCATCGTAATGCTTAAGTGTACCTATGTTCACTATATACATGTATATAGTCCAAAAGGTATCATAAACTAGCCCTGTGATAACGTGCAGCCTCTCATTAAGGTAGAATTTCCAGGGGTAAGGATGCTCTGTGACAGTGGGATCCCTACTTAGGGCCTGGTGATAGGTAGGATTACCAGGGTATGTTTAGTTTATACCCAGGTAATGGCTGAATCTGTCTCAAGCCTTACAAGTTACCTCGAGTCAGAATGTATCTGATGTTTGTTAAAACGGATATGTTACCTTGTAAAGTTACATCTAGTTGTTGTGTGTATCCTGACTGTTTTACATTAAGCTCTATTTATGAAAACAGTGTTAATAGTTACAGATGTATAAATCATTGTGGGTTAGGTCTCTGACAGCCTATATGTATTACCGATACTTTGTTGGAGACCAGGTTCAGACTGTTATAGTTATATAAAGAAAAAGGTAGATAAATTACTGAAATAACAAGCGTAAGTTTATCTTTACACACAATACGTGGATATGGGTACATCCCATTGGGGTAGACCTTATACCAGGGATCAGCTACTGTTGTGTAGGATAAACTATCGGCAGAGTCAAAGGTACGGTAACGTTAACCTAGAAAAAAAGGAAACCTTTACGTTTTTATTTATATTGGATTCCCCTTGGATTACCTCCCCGGCCGATATGAATGAAGTTGGAGCGGTGAAAAGAAATGAATTCAGACTTCACAAGTAGGAGCAGCCTTATTGAAACGTGTTTAGTACGCGGTGAAAGATCAGATTTAATAGGGTGACAGTTAGTCTTGATGGTGACCATTTAATGACCGGTCATCTCCACAATGCCTGCTGTTGACCTTCAACAGAGCTGTTTTGACCTTTATGATATTCTGACAGCAATACAGAATGGCCGGAAATGTTGACCATGTGATTATAAGGACAATCTTGATGGAATCATGATAATTTCAAAGTGAAGGGAGTTCTCGTTACTGTGAAGGCTCTGTTAGCCAGTCTGATGTTGGTTTAGTTGGATGTACATTCATTAATCTGTCAGAATGTACAGCTCTAAGAGAGGGGAAAAAATTAGTATTGGTATGAAACTTTGGAATATTGTGCTGTCCTGGAATCTATTGCATCAAATCGTGACTCTCTGAAAATGTCGCCTGGATCTACTGTAAAAGGAACGAGATAACTTGTGTTTGTTCATACTAACTGATTGGCAATCCTTCTCAGAGGGATTAGATGATAAAATAGCTACATGTGGGTCAATCTCCTGGTGTTCCGTGTGGGTGATACATATCCGTGTTTGTTCATGTTAAGTTTGTTTGGACAGACCTTTACTTCTGTGACATTGTTGAGTGAAAGTCACTAATCTTGTCCTGTACCGGCGCTGGAAGGTCTCTTGGAGTCAAACAAGGACATAGATGTTGTTATTCAATGTTTAAAAGTTCTTGGTAAAAGCATGACCTTAATTTGTATCAGGAAAAATATTCCAAAGAAAAATGGAATTGGGAAGATGGTGTCTACAAGTAATTGTTCTGATGCAGTAATTACTCAGTAGAATCGGACGGATACATGTCATTCATTGTGGAACTGATTTGTATAGGACTTTATATAAAGACAATATGAACTGTGATGGATTACTGAAGAAACAACATACTCGATGCCAAAAGTAACATCCCTGTAGTGACACCTAGGGGTACAGGCCCTGGTATTGAAAATTAACATTAGAATTCAAAGTTAAAAGATGGACGACCAGTTCTTAGCCGCTATAGAGAGGCTGGAAAACAGGTAAGAACAATCACACCTCCAGGTCATATACATGTAATAATCTACAAAGAAGTCTACGTGAAAACCGGACTAGTATGTATAACTGAAAAACAGCTATTGTGACCTCTCGTCTTGAAATAAAACCTCAACATCATCTCAAAGGGAATTTTAGTCACGACATGTTCAAGTGTCACCAGTGAGTGGGTGATTTTTTATTGGTTGACTAGTTGCCTTTAGTGTTGATGCTTCTTCAGAACCCTTCTTTGAATAAGTTACACAACCTCTGTATAAAGATTCAGGTCTGATTACCAAAGTGAATGTCCTAATATAGATGTTTTAGGGAGGGGGTGGAGGGTATAACTGAATGTAGATTTTCTGCTGATATGGTAGAGAATAGTTGAAATTTCATTGGATATTATGTGTGGAGCCTTTTAAAAATTATATTGAGGGAGACACATGCAGATGTTTTCAGTTTTTTTCTTAACATCACAATAAAGCCTCAAAAAGAAATGTTCTACAAAACTTCAATGAAATCTCTGACAAGTATTTAAATTTGTGTTACTGAACTTGCATTGGCTTTTTGTTAGTGTTAAACGAAGGAAATCTTTTATCGTGGTGTAAATTAGTTTGCTGTATTATAGAGATGTCGGAGGGCATGAAATAAATCTGTATTTAAATACAGTATCAATATATCGCAGGTTTCCAAAACATAATAAAAGGTCATGACATTTGACCCCAGACCCCAGGTGAGAAATCAGAGAGGCACAGCAGGGCTAGAAACGTGCAGCAATGTACATTGTACAAGTAATACTGAACGAAGATGAAATATGGATCCTCAATGCTGCCAATTCAACTGTTGCCACAAACATTAGCTAACTAGTCAGCTAGACAGTCCTCTAGAAGGCAGGA